CCCCAAAACCCCAAAACCCCAAAACCCCAAAACCCCAATCTTTGAATAAATATTGAATGCAAATCTGCATAATTAATCCTTTGCGTCTGATTCCTCTGTGCACTGAGAAAGTTCGCTCATTTTGTCGATCAAGATAGTGAATGCTTTTGAAACTATCTCCTCTGGAGGAAGAGCTCCAGTGCTTTCCACAGTGAAAATGAAATGATCTTCATGCTGGCCTACCTTTAACAAATCATTTTTCTTATTAAGATTTTCTAAATAGATTGTTCATTCTTGGCACTGATGGCAATCAGTAATGGTTTCGATATCAACAGTCTGTTTCTCCGCATTTAACTTGTATACAGAAGCAGGACAAGAATTCACAAGGCCTATCTTCTCTTCAGTATCAAGATCTTCTTCGAGAGAAGGACTTATATCGATTTGAGGCATCTGCTGTACTTGGACAGTTGCCACAGGAGACCATTTAGCATGCTCCTTTCCTGTTCCTTTCCTTACAATACATTGGATATCAACTTTTTGATTCTTGGCAAGTTTTACGATTAAAATAGGGTCTTCCTCATTACCATCAGCATTAATATATTTAACAGGCTTAACCAAACAATCAGGGTTATTAGCATTTATGTGGTCAGTGGTAATATCTTTAACATCATCAAGAGCAGTTTCTCTCAAGTTGAATTCAACACTGCATTTGTGGCAAGATGGTTTACAGGAACATTCTCTAAAGAATTCATAGCTGTCAACTGTATCACTTTTGAATGGGATCAGCCCAAGTCTATGTGACAAGAATTCATCATGAAGGACACTCGAATTATCGTTGATATAGACCAAATCTATTGCCATGGTTGGCACATCTGCAATCATTATCCTTCTCAAAGCGTTTGCAATAGAGATATGGCATTCCTTAAGTAAGAACTTGATGGTATATCTCCCAATATCAAGAATTTCGATGACTGGTGCTCTAAGGCCTCTTCCATATTGGTCTGTCATGTTCCTTTCTAATTAATATTCCAATTTTTGGAATAAATTTGGGGTTTTGGGGTTTTGGGGTTTTGGGGTTTTGGGG